TTTGAAACACACAGGTCGAAATCCTTATTAAATAGCATAAAGTGTATATTACTAGAGGAAATAAAACATACGGAAATCGCTAGATAAAAAAGTAAACTATTTATTATCGGTTAATTTAACTTTTAACTGCTAGAACGCTTCACTTGAACAAGAGGGGGTTTCATGGAAAGAATTTATCATAAAAAAAATCGCACTGTTATTTGAGGGTGTCTAATTATATTATCGCAATATTCATTTAACAGAACATTTAAGAAGTCTCGTAGAATGTTTTCAGTCAAATATTTAACAATTATTTACACTCACAACGATAATTTATAGGACACACTCAACAAAAGGAATGATGCATCACCCCTTCTGTTAGGTTTTGCGGGTTTTCAGGTATTGGTAATTCGTATTTGGTTTAGGTTTCTATTTGTAGGACCAAGAATTTACTCATTAACTGTAACGTTTGTTCTTTTGATCACTTTAACTTTCCGATATTTCAATATTTCTTTCTGGTCTTACTAATTATGTTTTGTTAATCATTATTTAATTAATTCATGAATATATGTATATATTGTTCGACATTGATTAGTTGCCATGGTAAGTGAGAAATAGAAATCACCAATCAAGTGCGAGCTAAGATTTGAATCTGTTCAGTCACATTGTTGTATAAACAATGAATCACTTTGTTTCCAACAAAAATATCTTAACAATTCACTGGCTGTAATCAAGAGTGCGGTACAGTTTCAATGTTTAGTTATAGAAGCTACCACGCATAACGTGTGGCGCTATTTAATTCACTTCTCTGTTTAAACAGCTTATTGCAGAACTAAAGTAATTTATTTGAAATGAACAGCCTGTAGAATTCATCATACTAACTATCTGTGACTAAACAAACATTTTGGAAAACTGAGAAAATATCAAGGGTTTACTTTAGAGTTTGTTCTGCAAGAAGTAATACAGTGTTTGTGTACTAGAAAAAAAAAAAAGTTCGAGGAGCTCGTGCTTTGTCCTAGCGGGCTATAAAAGAGGTCTCGTAACTTGCTATCACAGAAAGTCAACAGTGAGAAAACATGAAGTCTTGTATCATTTGTGGTCTATTGGTAGCTTTCTGTGCAGTTCTTGTACTGTCAGAAGATGGTGAGATATTCTAGAGTTTACAGTTGTTTATACGCCTTGTAATAATAATTTTATAAGTGTAACTTACACAATTCTTTATTTTTATATCTGAATTTGTATCTATATTGATGTGTTAAGATAATATATATATTCCGGACAGTTGAAAGTGTATCAAATGTTAAGGAAAAAACGCTTATACTTTAGACAAACATGTAACGTTAACAGAAGTTTAGCAACTAGACTTGGATTGTTTGTGGTCAAACACAAAGCTGTAAAATGGGCAATCTGTGCTTTACCCACCACGAGTATCGAAACTCGGGTTTCAGCGTTATAAGCCTCCAGAATTACCGCGGAGTCACTGGGGGTACTAGACTCGTATCACTTATGACGTAAACCTTATGATCTCGTCTAATAGTTGGGTACAAACACATATTACATAGTTTCAATTTAGTTTAAGGGAGATGCTGAAATACTGCCGGGTAAGTGAAACATTGTGTGACGGTAAGTTAAACACCTATAATTCAGTATGCGTTCAAATACTGGACAGATAAGTGAAGCATTACAATAATGGATGTACTTTTTGTTCATGGTTCCTAAAAACGTAAAACCTACTTGTTTGTTTAATACTTAGTAAGAAAACCTCAAATCAAGATATGAATATCTGTGTTTGTCTTGCATAATTATACTTTTGTTTCAATCATTTGGAACCAAAATATTTGACTTAAACTTCCAGATGATCTGCTAGATCTGGATCTGGATGCTCATCCAGCTAGGACTAATGAATTAAGGGTTCGTCGCCAGACCACCAACACCACGGAAACAACTAATAGTTCCGAAGAATCGTCGGAAGAAAAAGGGAACAACAAGAAGAAGAAGAACAAGAAGAAAAAGAACAATAGAGGTCGTTAATTAAGATTTTGTAAACTTTTAAAGTTTAATCAATGTTGGAATCGGAATTTGATTTTTAAGAATTATCTCTGCTTTGATTTACTAAGGATACGTATAGAAAATGTTTGAAACACGTGATCTATTTTTATTCTTCCCTATCGAAACTTGCAAAACCTGTAGGAATTACTGTGATTCTGGACAATAAACGCTTACATAAAGTATTTTAGCCTCTTCATCCATGGTTATTTCCATCGGAACGAGAACGTGTTAATCCGAGATGCATGTTTTACTTTGGTCAGTCATAGTTTTAATATCAATAGCATGTTACACTTGTGGTCTAAATATTAAATGTGAATGTGTAATTATGAAATTTAAAGTATTTTTTTTGTCCTTAGTTTACATTATCCGTGACTATTGGATTCTACACCGAACCTTTTCTCTGGGAACATCACTCGGGCTTTTCTGTCTTATCAAATAGAAACACACTCGAATGTAATTAGAAACCATGTTTGGACTACTTTCGATCAAGTGTCATACTGACAAGTATGACAAAACAAGTACACAATAATAATAATAAAAGATATCCGTAATATTGGCTAACATATCTTGCTTAAAAAACGTAATTTACCAGAAGGGTGGTATTTACACGATTACTTCATACCAATGTCCATTAAAGCAGAATGGTTTTGTGTTAGAGATCATGAGTATTTTCATATAGAGTTTGAAATCATTGGTTATTTCCACTTTTTCATGACTAGAAATATATAGTATAGTAAGTGAAATATAATTACAACACAACAATATTATTGATAAATGTAGCATTTACAAAGTTCACCGAATCCCTTTGTCTGCGTAATAATACATGTTCTTCGTGGAAGGCGAATAACCAAAACCCGTCGAATTGATGTGTATTCCTACTTTTGCATCAGAGAGTGTTTTTTCAGATACGACAGAAAACTTCCTGACATCTCTAAGTAACTTTGGTTCTTTTGGAATCTCTAACACACATACACAAACATAATAAAATACACGTGGCTTCAAGTAATACCGTAGTTAGTTTTCAAGAGGTTTCGGTGTCACCATGGAGACGGTTGCTGTACTGTGAACATGTAATACTTTTGCTGCCACCTTTTTTTCTTTAAATCAACAAGTATGGAGTCATGTAATGTTACTTGTTTTATCCTTGAAAAATGTAGTACAAAAAAGTTACGGTAGGTTTCCCTTTGAAGGAGATATTTACTAACAATGGATGAAGCTTCCTACCCCTTTCACTGGCTGTGAAGGTTTATAACGCTAAAAACCGGTTTCGATACCCGTGGTGTGCACTACATAGATAACCTATCGTACCTAATCACAAACAAACAACAGATGGAAAAATACTTGTTTGGTGACGAATGTTGAAATTACAAACAATAAAAATGTAGACGAACAATCAGTTTTTTTTTTACTTCCCGAGCATTGGACACATTTAAATATATATATTTAATGACATTAATTCTTTAATCATTTCAATTATCTGAAAAAAATCTTACTCGTTTATTTTGTTCCAGTTTAGATTTAAGAGAATTAATAACTTTCAATAAGTTTAAATAAAGAACACCAGGTAATTTCCAACATACAAAAATTTTTCTCTCTTCTTACACCTTTAACATCTGCTCACCGGAGCTGGATTTCCGGTTTAGTTCAGGTGCTAAGTTCTTTATGGCTAGTGTTTCTTTTAACCTTAGCCATTACTCCATTTTCAGCCTTTCCGATAATTTGGAATTGTTCAATTTTTACATTTACATTCAGGCATTCTTCTTTATGTTGGAAAATGTTTGATAATTCTGCATACCTTGATACACTACGTTCTTTAACTCGTTCACTAAGCCTACTCACCGTCGACCCTGTATACGCACTATTACAAACAGAACATTGATATCTGTAGATGACATGTGATCGGTTTGCTTTGCATATTCTGTTTTTGAATACAAAATCGTTCCTTATTCTGTATACTGGTTTAAGTACCACACGTAGTTCAACTTGTGGGTACACATTACAAAGTAATTTCTTTATATTTTTATTGATTTTCAAAGCATGTGTTCCAATAAATAGTAGCGGCATATACACAATATTTTTGGAACATTATCTTTCTCTTCCTTATGGGTTGCCGCTTCGTTGATAACTCGTGTTAAAACTTTTATTGGGAAGTCATTCAAACATAAGTAATTTTTGATGTTTTCCACTTCATTTTTAAACAGTTCAACATTACTACATAGTTTATGAGCTTGATATACGAGAATTCTGATTAGATTCTATTTGAAGTTATTAGGTATGAAACTATTATAGTTGAAGTACAATCCCAAAAATGTAGAAAATTCCGATTTCAAATTTATTGTTACGACAGCGGAATTCACGTGACGCTGGTAACACGTAATGAGTATCTAGAACGTTCGTGAAGGCTCGAGTATTTGCCAGACGCCCTCTATTTTGCATATATATGACTGGCAAGAAGTGGCGGGGGAGAATAATTGCAGACAGAGAGATATAGAAACAGATAATCGAGTCAAGCCGTAAATAAAATGCGTGAATCGTTGTGAATTCTAACGTATGTTTAAGTTAAAGTGACTGTGGGAATTAAGTGTATTGCAAAGTTGTATTGAGAAAAAAATAAACTAGTTTTATTTAAGAAAGGACTTGTATTGCTGAAGTTTTTCGGAAAGAATTTCTACGGGAAATTATCAAACGACCAGAGACGTAACATTATCATCTTTTTTCTTAAGTAGGGTGTCTAAAAACGGCAGCATACAATCTCTTTATTTTTCTACCGTGAATTTAATATTATTCTGTTGTTTATTCAGATAATTAAAAACAATTATCTACTTGTTCTTCACTTTCAGATACCCCAAAAGAAACATTAGCAATAAAGAACTTAGCACCTGAACTAAACAGGAAATCTAATACCGGTTAAGAGTGTGGTAAGAGAGAAACAATTTCAATTAGTTATATATCCTGAATGTTTTTGTTGTTTTTTTTTACACAGAAAAATCTTCCTTTAAACTTCCAAGTCCTGAAAGAAAGAGACTCAATAATTATACTCAAATACCCTAGATTCACTTGCCATGATTAAACATTAGTAAACAAGAAATTAATCAGTGGGCGAGAGAAAATCCCATCATTTCTCCGAAACCTTTAGGCTTAGTTGAAAGTCTGGTTCGTTGGCTATCAGTCATGGTCGACTCAGAATCTGCAAAATGTAATGACAAGAAACAAATTTAAATCGTGTCGAATAAAATTTAACATATGCTCGAAAATCATTCCTGGTTCGATGAAAAGAAATTACGAATACATGCTACACAATTTTATTCACACAAACTAATGTTCTGTGACTAAACGGATCTTACCAAGAAACAGATATACGGGTCATGGACAAAAAAAAAAAATGGAAACACCTCGGTAAATAAGGTACAACAAGTATATGTAATGTAGAGGCTACCAGACAGGTGTGCCTCATCCATTAATTAAGTAAATATCATCCTAGTCAAGTATAAAAATGCTGGACAGGCCTGGTTGCCTATAATCACGGGTAGCATGGCTGCAAGAGGAGACCTCAGTGACTTTGAAAGAGGGGTGATTGTTTGGGTGAGTTTGGTGGGAGCTTCAGTGACCAAGACAGCTCAACATGCTCATGTTTCACGAGCAACAGTGTCTAAGGTGATGTCAACATGGAACTCCCAGGGAAAGACATCATCAGCAAAGGGCAACAGTGAGCAGAAGCGCATACTCCAGGATCGCGATGTCCGTGAATTAATTCGAAATACAAGGCAAAACAGGCGAGAAACAGCAGATCAATTAACTGCAAATTTCAACCTTGGGCGAGAGCAGCCAGTTTCATTAAAAACGGTCAGCCGAGAGCTCCACGGAACGGGATACCATAGTCGGGTTGCAGTGCACAAACCATTCACCACACTTGTCAATGCACGGTTGCGCTTCTAGTGGTACAAAGAGCACAGGCTAAGGACCGCCGATCAGTGGAGAAATGTGATATGGTCAGATGAATCATCCTTCACCAGGTTCTCGAAAAAATCGACGAGTGCACGTGTGGCGCCAACCTAAAGAACCTGAATGCTTGGTTCCAACAGTGAAGGGTTCTGGCGGTTCCGTAATGGTGTGGGGTTTGGGTTTGGATGCACTCCTACCCTGGGAAGACAAGGTCGATGCCAATCGTTACTTAATGGTACTTAGTAATCATCAGTTACAGCATTTCTGACCTGCAGATATGGGTGTCTGTCAAGATGACAATGTCCCCATCCACAGAGCACGAGTGGTCGACCATTGGTTTGTGGATCATGACACTGACGTTATCCATATGTGATGGCCTTCTCATTCACCAGATCTGAACCCAATCGAGCATGTATGGGATATTCTGGAACGACGCCTAGGACAGCGTTTTCCACTTCCATCAACTCGGCATGAGTTGTTTAACTTTCTCGTGGAAGAGCGGTGTCGCATTCATGTTGCACAATTCCAGACTATGCCACAGCGCATACAGGCCGTACTGCCCACACACGGTGGCCCAACACCCCATTAAGTGACTTTACATTGGTGTTTCCATTTTTGTGGCCAATACCTGTACATTTAAAACTTCCCTTACTAATCTGTAACACATGCTCTGTATCGAATATAGACCATAAATTAATAAAGGCTTAGTTAATGTTAGGCTTAAGACAAATGGACTTATGGATTTCAATGTTTAAGATTAGATTAATCAATAAATCCGCTAGTTAAAGAAATACTGTTGTAGTAAAGATAGTAATCTGAATCCACATGTTTTGTGGGTCTTTGTTAGTTAAAGATAAATATCCAAAAACGGATAACTCCAGTACATTTTATCAATATGACTTCTTTAGGCCTAATTTGGTATCACAAAGGTTTCAACCAAAAGCAGTTGGTATGAGAATAAAATACCGATATGTTACTACTCATTTTTGGGTAACATTCTTTTATAATTCCAAGTGGAATAAAAACATACCTGAAGTACTTATTTTGCTCAATCTCCGCACATTCTTTTTGGTTCGTTTGCCTGTGTGCTCTATTGGTGGAAGAACGCCGTACTTTGACATGTTGGGTAAACGATCATGACTCTGAATAAAATTATAAAAGAATAGCACCAGTGAATGGTGATCGGAAACAAAATCGCTTTGGAAGAAAATATATCAAATGAAAATGACTGTCCAAAAAACAGCTTAGGAGGCTAAGTAAAATCCCTCAACTTGTTTTTAGTTTATTCCGAAATTAATTCAAATATATGAGTTCAATAACACGTTCTTATTAAACAGAAATAATAAATTAAAATGTCATACTGAGCTCTAGATTTACTCTATGTTTGTTTATTTGTAGTTAAGCACAAAGCTACACAAAGGGTTATTTGTGCTCTGCTCACCACGGGTATCGAAACCCGGTTTCTAGCGTTGTAAGTTCGCAGACATACCGCTGTGCTACTGAAGGGGGGGGGGCTTTACTTTATGTCCATTACGATCTTTTGTAACACACCATAAACTTGCAGTGCTACTGATCACACAGTACCCATAATCCACTGCTCTACACAATATTCCTTAACGATCCTACGTAACACACCATAAACTATCAGTTCTACTGATCTCACAGAACTCATATTCCACTGATCTACACAATATTCCTTAACGATCCTATGTAACACACCATAAACTTGCAGTTCTACTGATCACACAGTACCCATATTCCACTGATCTACACAATATTCCTTAACGATCCTATGTAACACACCATAAACTTGCAGTTCTACTGATCACACAGTACCCATATTCCACTGATCTACACAATATTCCTTAACGATTCTATGTAACACACCATAAACTTGCAGTTCTACTGACCTCACATTACCCATATTCCACTGATCTACACAATATTCCTTAACGATCCTATGTAACACACCATAAACTTGCAGTTATACTGATTTC